GTGTGTGTGTGTGTGTGTGTGTGAGCGCGTGCGCGCACAGCTGAGGGTCAATACTGCCCTGTAAACTGAGAGCACCAAAGGGGAAAGAAACGGACATGAGAGGATCCTAAAGGAAATCCATGTGGCATTTTCTGTCTCAGAGGTGGGTGCGGAGATTGAATCAAGCAGATTTTACTCCATTACTAGGAGCTAAGATCTTGATCTGGCAGGAAGTGCAGAGAAGCTGGAGAACAATTTATAAGAGTCTTCATTCACCCCTTCCAAACTGTTTTCAAATAACTCCAGCAGGAGTACGGGGACTTCCATTTCCCGGACTGGAATCTCAGCCACCACCGAGGAAAAAAGATACCCAGAAACCAGGGTCCAAAGAGTGACGCGCACACGCGCGCGCGCGCGCACAGACACACACACACACACACACACACACACACACAGGGAAGGTCTGACTCCAAGGAAGGATAAGAACTTTCTTCTAAACGTGTCTCTTGTTTTTCTCCTGCAGCTTGATCACTACCCTCGCGAGAGTTACCATCTGCCAAGTTCGTCTGACACCCTGTTCAATTCCCCCAAGTCGCTCTTTCTAGGAAGAGTTATAGGTAAGAATTTGGTTCTTGAAGTATGAATGTATGTTAAGCATGCATTATGTGTAAGAATAACGGGGGGCATGAATTTCAGTTTGGAATTTCTGGGTCAATGTCTTCCGTTGGGATGGTCAAGAACACATTCTGGGTACAAGACAGGCTCTGCTTTTTCTCAGTGACACAAGACGCGCGTTACTAAATCATCTTTTGGGTGAATCGCTTGGTTAACACCTGAAAGGTGCCAGTTCGCCTGTGGGAAGCGTTGCCAGGATGATTGCCACGCTGGTCAGTGATGGCAAACAGCCAACATTACTGGGCGCCTGAGATGGACCGGGGAACAAGAGACCCCAGTTATCTGCTCCCAGCTTCACTTTGTACTTCTGGTTCATTGGGCTATTAAAGACATCCACCCGCTGACAGTATTCAAATTAACTTTCTCTTTGTCTAAGCACATAAACTTGATTCTCTCTTCCTCTCAGTGTCAAGAGAGCTACCTGATAGTATCTGCTCATTAGAAGGCCAGTGGGAATTAGGGCATCCGACACAGCTCCCTCCCCACAGTGTGAATGTAGACATCACCATGCCTGTCTCACTCCTGGAGGTGAAGGTTGTCTAGATGAAAATGCGGATGTGATCCGTTAAGTACTTTTACGTGTTTACTAAGGCAACACAAATGTCTTTTCCTCTGAGAACGTGTACGAGAACCCAAAACGGAAAGCGTAGGATGGAGGGTGACACGGGGCTGAGAAGGCATCACTGTCTGGTGACAATAAAGGTCGAAAGACAAGGGGCCAGGTGGTGAGGAGTGGAGAATGAGAGACCCGGGAAAAATAGCAACAATACCCACCTACTAAAGGCCAGCCCCCACCTGAAGCACTTTAGATACATTAACTCATTTAATCTTAGTAGCAATTCCACGAGGTGATGAGATTATTATCTCCATTTCACAGATGAGAAAACAGAGGCAGTGAGAGGGTAAATAACTCACCCAAGGTCACCAACTAATAAGTAGGAGAATCAAAATACCTCGGTCCCTGCTCCTAACCGCTGTGCCATAATCCCTGTGACGGATGAGTTTGAACTGAACAGAGAAAGGCAGAAGAGGCAGGTTTGGGCAACAGATAGAAGTAAGGGCTGAGGTGAACCAAGGGAGAGATAAGGCCTACATCCCACGCCAGAGAGTGCCCATGAGCAGAAAGCATTCCTGGACTTGGAACCAAGAACACACCTGCCATATTGGTGAGCAAGGAATCGAGAAGACACAGGCAGGTGGAGTTGTAACTGAGACCCCCAGAGGAGAGACCACCCCTTCAGTAAATACGACATCAGGGAGTGCTGATAGCTTCATCCGCCTGTGGAACTGGACAGAGAATGAGGGCTGAAATGCACTGACCACGCGCTTTGTTTTAGGGGGCAGTGAAGGATCAGTGGTGGAACTCTCACCTTCCGTGCAGGAGACTTGGGTTCAATTCCTGGCCAATGCACCTCGTGCACAGCCACCACCGGTCTGGCAGTGTGTGTGTGTGTGTGTGTGTGTTGCTATGACGCTGAAGAGGTTTCAGTGGAGCTTCCAGGCTAAGACTAGGAAGAAAGGCCTGGCAGTCAACTTGTGAAAATCATCCAGTGGAAACCCTATGGATCACAATGGGCTGATCTGTAACCGACTGTAGGGATGGCACAAGACCGGACAGCATCTCGTTGCGTTGTGCACGGGTCGCTGTGAGTCAGGGCCCCACTAGACAGCAGCTGATGACAACACCTTATGATGACCATTTCACTTGCATAGATTTAACTGAATGCCCCAACAGTCCGATGTCACAGTACCTGTGATTATCATCCCATTTTGCAGATGAGGAAGTTGAAGCTGAGGAGGTTAATTTGCCAAAGGTCACTCAGATAGCACTGGTAAAGCAGAGCTGGGAAGCTAGTTCTCTCTGACGAGCAGCCAGTCTTGGGTAGACCAGAAGAACTTGCTGTTAGGTCTCGCTCCAGAGGAAGGGCTGTCACTGAAAGTGGAGCGATGCTGTTAGTTAGCACCGGGAAGCGGCTGCTTGGTGGAGGGAGCCTTGGCCCTCACCAGGCATCCATCCTGAGACACTGGTGAGAGCCACGTGCTGCCGTATGCATCCCCACCGTTCAGCCAAGTGTAACCGGAAATGTTCAGTCGGGGCTGTAATGACAAACTCTACACAGTGATACTGTCACTCCTGAAGTAACGTCAACCCTGAGCAGATCAGAAGTGATGGACGCCATTACTTCAGGACACGCTCAGCGTCCAGTCTTGACGGGAGTGCTGGGTGACTTCCAGGTCCCCTCACCCTAAGTACACTCTCTGGTTCATGGGATCAACTTCACGCCTCAGCAAAATTGCAATGTCCACGTGACCTGGACCTTCCAGGCCGTGAATAAACAATCAGCACAGCAAAGCCAATGTCCTCTGAGGCTGAAACCCTCCATGCCGCACGTGGGTGCCAAGCTGCCAGGGGAGCGTGCGCCTCAGTCGTACGAGTGTCACGGCCTGAGTTTGCTGTGCACATGAACCGCCCGGCTGTGAGGCGGTGTGCTGTGTGAAGAATGAGCGGGCTGCGCCCCTGCTGGGCTCCTGGCCACACTCCTCTCACCCCCTCTACACGCCAGCTCCCACAGACCAGGTTAGCATCTCAGAGTTTGTCTGTACCCTCGACGCCTTGCAAGGAGCAACTGCCCAGTAAGTACTTGTTGAATTAATAAATAGTAACGGGGGAGAAACGAAAGGAATACCACTGCAGACGTATACTGCAGAGAGGGAGGGCGTGGGTGATGACGCTCACCTAATCAATAAAATCGGCAGAGAGGGAGGGCGTGGGTGATGACGCTCACCTAATCAATAAAATCGGCAGAGAGGTGTGCCGCAGGGAGTTCACCAGTCCTCACGACCTCACCCCTGGGTTTTCTAAAATCAGTAACTGCGGGGTGGGAAGAGACAGGCTATGGAATCAGGCAGAGCTGGACGCACAGGAACCAGGTTCACGTTGAAATCATGGGCACCCCGCTTTAACCTCCCAGATCCTGTGGTCTCTCAGCTGTAAAATGGGGAAAGTAAACACCTACCTCTCCAGGGTTAGCTCCCTGAGGGTGGCATTTTTGACCTTTTTTCTTCTAACGAATCTATTTGCAGCTGCCAGATCCCTGCGGGCACACCTGTCACACTCAGTGAACAAGGGCTCCGTTATTGCCGAGCTCACAGCCTCTTTGGAAGTACCCAGCACAAGGCCTGCGCATAAATACTGAGAGTAAAGATCAGTTTGGAAGGCGAGCGGGCACTGCCCCACTCACGTTAGCTTTTGTTCCTGTGGGCTACCGTCACATCCATTCCAGCTCATGATGACCCCACGTGTTACAGAGCAGAACTGCTCCATAGGGTTTTCTTGGCTGTAATCTTTTTTTTTTTTCCTAAATTGTATTTATTTTGTTGTTGTTGTTGAGAATATACACAGCAAAACATACACCAATTCAACGGTGTCTGCACATACAATTTAGTGACACTGATTACGTTCTCCAAGTTGTGCAACCATTCTCACCCCCTTTTTCTGAGTTGTTCCTCCCCATGAACGTAAACTCACTGCCCCCTAAGGTTCCTGTCTAATCTGTCAAGTTACTGTTTTTGCTGAACCTGGGAGGGTGGGTCCTTGTCCAGCGTGCTCAGATTGCCAATTATCTGGACACCGGCCTTTGAGAAAGTAACTTTATTGCAATGCTCAGAGCAAGGAGCCGAGAGGAAGTTCCTCAGATCCGACTCCCCAAACTACAGGGACGCAGGGCTTATATGTGATTTGTTTGCAAGATGGCAGCCGTGCAGACATACTGGGGAGGGAAAATTCTAGAAGGCGACGAGGAAATGTGAGGTGACGTGGTTCTTGTCAGACCTCTTGCTTCGGAATGCTGTCCGGGTGCTGATTTTCCTTCTGGTTCATTCCACCTGTTGCTGGGTCCTTTGTTGAGGTCAATTAGTGGTCACAGCTAGCCCTTCTGCACATGGGGGGCGGACCAACTCTGGCTTGAGCTAATTTAAGGACTAATAGAAATTTACTGGCATTTGTAGGGTGCGGTTACCCTGTTGTCAATTTGATCCCATGTAGATAGTTCTTAAAATAGCGTAATGCTCAAGGGAGACTTTTTTTTACTAGTTAAGCTAAACTATTGTTTGATTTTAAGAAGACTTCAGAGGATGTTTTTGGTTTAAAGATTATCTCAGGGCATTAGTTTAAAGGGTTCATCCACATGGCTTCAAAAAGTCTGGAGTCCATGAGAATTTGAAACTGTTCTGCATTTTCCTCCTTTTGATCAGGATTCTTCTATAGAATCTTTGATCAAAATGTTCAGTAATGGTGCTTGACTGTAATCTTAACGGAAGCGGATCTCTAGGACTTTCTTTTAAAGAGCTGCTGGGTGGGTTCAAACTGCCAACCTTTATGTTAACACTCAAGCACAAACCATTTGTACCACCAGGGACTTTTAAGTACCTTCTCTAATACTCATAACACCCGCTCCAAGATCTCTATTACCCTCATTGTATATAAGAGGGAACCAAAGACAGAGAGGTTAAGGTATGTGCTTAAACCAGGGTTTGACATCTCTGGGTTGGATCATTGTTCTGGGGGTGTCCTATCAGTGTAGACATCCCTGGTTTTACTCACTAGCTGCGAGGACCATCCACAGTGTGACAACCGACAATGTCTGCAGACATTGCCCAATGTCCCCCATGGGGGAGGGGTAAAATCATCCCCACTGAGAACCACTGGCTTGAAGTCACCAAGCTAGTAGGTGTTGGGGCTGGGATTCGAAACGCTCACGTGTGACACCAAACCCCAGCTCTGCTTCCTGGTGGCACCTACATCTTTTAGAACGGTGAGAAAGCAAGGAAGGCGCGTGATGTTCTGAAGGTAAAATTCTGTTCCTGAGATAAAAGGGGCCACAGTAAAGGCCAGACAAGACGCAGGGTGGCTGAAGAGACGTCGGAACAGACCATCAATTGC